AGTGTATTTGTAAACGAAAAAAATGACAAACACCTCTACTTCTCTGTTATAACTACCATTAAAAGAACAAAAAACGACAATTCTTATTTCTTTCCTTTCCTTTTTGTTCTCTCTTTCTCTCTCTCACTATACATATATCACATATAGCGTATCCAAAAAGTCATTACCACAGAAAACATTAAATATCTCTTCCATATTTTAATCTAATTCGTTGATATTTTTATTAGGGATAGAACAGTATTCATAGGTTACTTTTATAAGAGAAGCATTAGTAAAAACTGTTTTAAAATATTACAACTCACTTTAATATAGAACTGTTAGCTTCACAGGTTATAAGAAAAACAATATTGCTATTTTCTCAATAAATTCATCAGGTTTGTGACCGAAACTCTTAGCATAGATAGCACAGATCGAATACTATATATATGCCTGTTCAATTCGAAAAACTCTTGAATATGCAATACGATAAGAAAAACACACTTCAATACTAAGAAAAAAATGACGTAAAAACTTACATAATATTTTTGCTATAGAATACTTCGGTGCACAGTCAACAACAACAAAAACACATTATTCAGAAAACTTTTCATTTTATCAGACTTGCAGAGGTGTTTTCGTTGACCATTTTGATAAAAAAAAATGTTGGATTTCATTGAGAAATAACAGTATTGTAGTCAAAATATTAAACACTGAAACATAGGGTGTCCCCAAAATGTTTGGAACATAGTTTATTTTGCAAATATCTCTACATAGATAAATGATAAAATCTTTGTTTTGTATTCTTCACAAGATGCATCGTGAAAAGCTCTACAAAAACTGTAATAGCACATTCTTATTTATTTATTTTGATAGTTTGTTCATACTCGAAATGAAAAAAAAGACACGTGATAATGTTACTTCTCGTCACATGCAGCATGTTAAAAATGCTTGAAAGGCTTTTATATTTTGCAGCAATATCGGCTAAATAAAATGATAGCATCTTGGTTTCTTTTCAAAAGATGCACCGTCGAAAACTCTATAGAATCTGTATAGACAAATTCCTATTGCAAAAGAAAAAACCTTCCGAACATTTTTATTATCAGTTTGTAATTTTATGCCATATTTTTCTTAGTACTGAAGTTGGTATAGATAAATTAAATTAATGCTATGTAGTTGTAATACACGACTCAAAACACAAATGTGGTACAAGACTTTTGAGCTGCACTGTGTTAAGAAGTTATCATAACCCCAACAACCCACAGTCTGGCCAGACCTCAACAAACAATATGGATTCAGTGTTTAATTATCTCCATGATTTTCATCATCTATAGCTCGCTGTCTTACATTGGACAATAAAGTGACTCTAAGTTTTCTACCTATTTTCAATTCAAGGTGTGGATTTGGGTCTTACCTTATATTAGACACTCACACCAACCCACACTCCACTCTGTACGAAAAATGCTAATAGTTCCGTATTAGAATTGAAAATTTAATTTGATGCAATCGTATCAGTATTGAGTGAACATCAGACTAATATGCGAATACTTACGGTATTCAAAAGCACAAAAAAAAATGATTCCGTGTTGAAAAACAGAGCAAGTTTACCGTTCTGATAAAAAAAATAATTTTCACAATGAAAGAGATTGCATTAATGCTAATGCAATACTGATACCACAATATCAAATTAATTTTTCAATCCGAACACAAAAGCATTCATTTAGTTTTTTGAATCCTAATACAAGAGTATTAAAAGCAGCACTAATAAGCAATAGTAATGCTCAGTTGTCATCCCTAGTTCAGAATACTTGTTCAACTATTCTTTTGAAGCGTCATAATCGTTCAAGAAAAGACTTTCTTCGTTTGCTCATCGATGAGTTGATTGTTCTTGTTCTTTCAAGATATCCATTTAATATAGAAATTATTTATCAAGAACCTATCAAATAATTTACTTCTACAAAGTCTTAAACTTAATAATTATATCAATTTGATATTCATATTTGTTACAGGTTCATATCTAAACAGTTATAAAGTTCTTCATCAAGATTTATTTCAAATTCTAGAAAGATTTTAAATGGTGATTCCAGTTGTAAAACTGTTCTTAACAACGTTAAAGAGAATGAGTAGCATCATCGGATTTCCACAAGTAAGAACTTCAGAAGACCATAAAACCCTTTGATTTTTTCAAAACTTAAAAAAAACAACTACAATTTATTTTAACTTCAAAGAAATGAAAAAGGAAAACATCTTGTACGATATGCTTCGACTATAGGCTTTGTTTCTCAACACAGATTACTTTAAAATAAAATTTCAGATGTTTGATTAAAATTTAATCCATCTAAAAATTGTTTTCGTATCCGCTTTTCTCATAAAACCACTTATGTTAAACTTGTAAGTGGTACTGGATATTTTGAAAAAGTATTGTTAAAAACACTTTTAAACAAAGGATCACGTAAAATTATTCTACATGTTTTTATTTATCACCTTTTAAAGTCGTTTTGTATATCAAAAGTACGTTTCGTTTCACGTAAGAGTGAGCCATCTCCCTATGCTTTACCTTATTTTTTTAAATTAAGAAACAGTAATCTTAGGATAATCTCGAAAGATTATTTTCCTATTTCTGATGGAATAATCAGCTTTTCATCTAGGATGTGAGTGTTAGTCTTTCCTTTTGTGACACACACACACATCCTAGTTTACTGATTAACTGAGATTCAACTTGAAACGGTACGAGCCTGGTTTGATTCCATCCGAATGGATAGTTAAAACGTCTGTTCGAATTCATACTCAGTAATCAATCGCCGAAGCTTCTAACTGTTTCCAAAAGTAATTTGATAAAGTATATAAAATATTCTATCAGAGACTATTTGAATAGATGAACTACTCGTCAGTAGTTACGATGGCTACAANTATTAATGCCACAAAATGTCAATGAACAAAATAAAACAATCTGAACTTTTTGCGAATAAAATTTTAGAAAGTTAGGCATGTTGGAGCTTCATAATATTATTTGTTCAATTTTTCAATCTTACCGCTAAAATCAAACGTCGTTATATAATCTTATAGAGATTTTCACAGCGCATCTTTTGGTAACAAAAATTGGAAAAATGGGTGAGACAATATAAAGAAAATTGAAAAATACACAATTACCCATTTCTTCTGGACCACCCGATATTATGTAATAAATTTAGTAAAATGGTCATAACTTTAAAAGAAAGCAATAAGGAACAAAATGATTATTGGCTAACCCTACTCTTAATGGACTATACATAATGGCACAAAACTTGTTCAAAAAGCTTTTTTCATCTGAAAGGTTCTTCTCCTGAGTAACAAATTTACAGTCAATCACCCTTCGTTATTGGAGAAAACTTTGATCATTTAAAAGAAATTCACTGGACTGTGCTAAGTGAATAAATAATGAACTTCAGATTTCTAATTTTTTTCTTATATTAGTTCTGTGGTTTATTTTTTTAGTATATATTTTATACTAACATAAATTATCAGAAATAAGTAAAATTAGTTTTAATATTATAGTAGTGAGTTGAGCCGAAGAACCAAATATTTTCTGAATCAGATCAAAATATTTTCGATAAACTCAAAGTTTGCAGATGAAATATCCTGGGTGATTTTTCTAACATGAACACATTAATCGACTGAAACGAAGAGAAACAAATCCCTAAATTAAATGACTACGTAGGACGAGATATACGGTGAGAAACAGCTCATGCACGCTCATTTACGATCATATACGACCGTAGTTTACCGTAATACATGGCTCAGTATTACGATCGTATATCGTCATAGTCGTATACGGTGAAAAACGAAGCAAAACTGAGAGTGCAGACGGACTTCATGTACGAAAATCGTAAACAGCCGTATTTTTCTGCATATACGATTGTTTACGACCGTGCTTGTTCAACCTGGGCATCTTCCTCCACAACTTCATATTTTTCATCATCATATAATGTCTTGCATAACACAACGAACGATTTGTTCTTATCAATTGAAATATTTTAATTATTTTCACACCCTTATTCTAATTCACCTAAACCTATTCTATGTCAATCAAAGTTCTTTTTTCTATAATAGACAAGATAATTGTTTATCTTTGCTAATTTTGATACATTTATTTTTCTTGATAGAATTGCTCGAAGAATTAGTTTTGGTTTGTTTATGCCATCATTAGACAAACCTTCTATGTAATTTTTAACATTTTCATCAATACCACGAATTTTGTCATTATGAAGTTCGTATTCGGCATCAGTTTCATAAGCGGTTATTTTATCACTATTTGCATGATATATCAGATAATTCTTGCACAATATTGACGACTATGAAGTTTGGATTTCTTGCATCTGTAATAAATTTTTCTCCCATCTTCTGTATTGTTTGTGTAATATTTTGATCATTGAATTCCAATTGATGCTTCTGCTTCGCCAGCATTTTGATTGTTTTTTCTTAAGGGTACTTCCACGCAGATCCACCCACTTTTATTGAATGAAATCATGCGCTAACTCCAGTAGGGTAGGCTCAAAAGTCGATTTTCTCGAAAATTGACTTCAGGAATCGGTCACTTTTATTTTCCACGAAACGCTCGTCGGAAGCTTCGATTTGATCATTGAATATAGCATAAAAAGTTGTCTTTATGCAATAATTTTCAGAGTCATGTGGGTGTGGATGAAATCAATACTCATATTCACATCCACACCCACCCTTTTTTGAATGAAATACAGAAATATTTTTAATATCTATGTTGATGAAAGAACAGTTGATTTTCTTTTATAGCAGAGAGAAGCTTTATTATTTTTACTAATCTCAAATGAAGATAATATTATTAATAAACCAAAAAAGTGACAAAAATAATCATGTCAATAAAATAAGACTAAGACACAACATAAATTGTATAATTCAAGAAAATACATAAAAAGACATTATCACCTAGGTTTAAGGATCTAGGCTTAGCATTAATGTAAAAAACTATATGTGTGTAGAGCTTGTTATCTCGATTCGAGTTTTAAAATTTTCTAACTGCCATTACCCTCATGTTGACTCTCTTTGTACGTTTTTTTTGTGTTTCGCTGACATGGTGATCTCCGCAACACTTTCACTATTGTTCTATCTTTCAATTGAAAATTATCAAACACTTCTTCAATATCTTCCAGTAAAATCCCTTTCGTTTCCGGACAGAAAAGATAAGCGAATACTACAGCCAAAAGGCATAGACTACCGAAAAGATAAAATACTCCATGTATTCCTAAGGGTGCTATTAACTCCAATATGTAAGACATAATTATACACATAAACCAATGGCTCGCTGTTGTTAGTGACATTGCCGTAGCCCTGATATTAAGAGGATAAATTTCAGCTGCATAAATCCAGCAGATTGCCCCCCAAGAAAGTGCAAAACAAACTATATAGACAACTGTAAAGATCAGCATCAATATGCCAGCATTTGTTCCACAATTCACTTCTTCATTCACTATAATATCATTAATGACAGTTTTGACTACATTACAACCAGTAGCAAATACTGTAGCTGCTACAAGATGACCAACTACCATACCTAAGCCACAAAATATAAGAAGGTTTCGACGACCAACTCTATCAAACAAGAATAAGGCTGGTATAGTACTAAGCAGATTTGCACCAGACAATATTAATAGTGATATGATACCTGATCCAAGAACACTTTGGAAAATAATGCCACCAAATGCAAATATAGGACTAATACCTGATGTTTGCAGGAAAACATGTATGCCCATACCTATACCAAGTCTTTCCAGCATTTTCTTTGTTGTAAAGAGTTCTTTGATTGAAAGTTCATTGCCTTCTTCTCGTATAGCATCGGCAATAGCGTTTAACTCAGCAGTTACATTGTATATTTTACGAATGCGTTTTAAACTTTTTTCTGCCGATTTTCGACCTTTTTTCTTGAATAGCCATCGAGGAGTTTCAGGACAGAGAAATATACCCATCATAATAATAATTGGAGCAATTAAAATAATGGCATTTGACAATCGCCAGCCCCATTTATGATCTTGTAAAAAGAAATTGACCACATTAGCAGCAAACAAACCAGTTACTATGCCCATTGTCATAAAGCCAGAAAGCATTCCACGTAAATTTGTTGGAGCTATTTCTGAAGCGTACAGTGGACAGGAAAACGAAGAACAACCAACGCCTGTGCCTTCGACAATCCGTCCAATCAGTATGAAAATCATTATCGTTTTTGAACCTCCCGGTGGTAAAATAACCATTGAAGTGCCAATTATAAACAGAACTGCTGAAGTGAAAATAATGGCTCGACGTCCGAATTTTTCTGCCACACATGAAGAAATGAACAGAGCACCAATAAAACATCCGAGATTATACATTAACGTAAAAAGTACCAAAAATTGTCTGTAGTCAGGAGGCAAAGCAGCTATTGAAAGATCACAGACGCTTGCATTGGCATACACCCCAATACAAAAGTCATTTTTAAATGAATTCATGATAACTATACCACCAGTAACGCCTTGATCATAGCCAAAAAACCATCCGCCCAATGAAGAAAAAGCAGCCAGCAACACAGCAAAATATGGCTTTCCATAATGAATATCCTTATGTTGAACATGATGATGATCAGTTTCGCTTATAGATTCTAACGATATTTTGTTTAATGTTTTTTGTTCACTACAATCATTTAATAAATGTGCCTGTTGTGCTGCACTACCGTCTTCGAACTCTTCCTGTGTGGAGCCTTCGCATTTGAGCACTTCCAAGATATTTATGTCAAGATCAACGCTATTCTTCTTGCTTCGCAAGTCGTAAGCAGAACAGCCATCTGTCGTGTTAATAAGGTAGTTGATTTCCGTAATAACATCGCCACTCATTGTGATGAATTTGAAACAATTTGTACGTATAATATTGTCGCACCACTCATGAGTCACTTTTTTAAAATGTAAAAGAACTACACTACTTTTTATACACGTCGAGGTGATAACAGTAATGTCATAGAAAAAGAGAGTGAAAGAGAAGAGAAAGTGCAGGTATAGAGATGATATTGTGTCAAGAAAGAACAGATAAAACAGAAGGTATAAGAATAGAAAAAGAGAAAGAAAATGTAATATCATCATACGAAAATGATGATAATATGGTCTACTTAGATATGCGGTTAAGCATACAAATAAATCAGATATTCCCCTGGAAAAAATAAGTTGCACAACGTATTATTAGTGTGTTGTCACCATCAAAACATTTTTGTCGATTTTTTCAACTTTAGAGATACCTTTTGAAAAAAAAAGTAATTATAGATTCTGATAGAGCTTGAAATTCTCTATCATCCAATGTATCGATTCATTTCATTGCATTTGTGTATTAAACAGTAATTAAAAATAATGGAGTGAGTATTGTGTTAAAAAATGACTACGATCATGGTTTCGACCTTTTGTCGACAGCGTGTTTCATTAGTGAAGATTATAGAGTATCTAGTTATCATCTACAATTAAATAACATAGTTACTCATGAAGGAAGTTATCTTGTTGGTTTGTAATTTGATTTTTTTTGTTGTTGTTGATATTTAATTTTGTTGTATATTGAAATACAGCGTTTGAGTAAGGATTCGTATTTATTTCTAATTATCAAGATTGCTTTTTTTCTAAATATAATTTTGTTAGACGAAGATAAATAATGAAGTTTATATCTAGAATATTAAAAATAAAAAAGGGTGAACAATTTTTATGTTAAAGATGATTGTTTTTTGTGAGAACGAAACAGTAATAATAATGAAAAGGTCAACTACAAGAGAACAATTGTCAATATATTAAATGTATGGTTTTTTAGTTGGTAAGATCTTCCGGTGGCTATGTTTTGTAAAATGTCGTTGAACATGTGGCTTTTTCTTGACGAATAATTGATTTATATTTTGATTACTTTTTGTGTTGATCGTTAGAAGCATATTGTTCATAATTAGATTGCTATATTAATAATGTTTTTCCTATAAATTCTTTAATTCAGGCTTGAAATTTAACATCTGATCAGTTTGGAAAGTAAAATACATACGATTTTCATTTTTATTCGAAATTCTGTTGTTGATTTTCTCGCCGTGTTAGTCGACTTAATAATTGTGACAAAAAATTGTTTTTTCACTAAAATTATTCAAAATGATAAGAAATAAATTTTGGTGGATAACCATTTAATAGTAAAGTAAACTCAATATTCAGTCTTTCTTTGTCAAAGTCTTCTACATGAGAACAAAGTCATACTGCTCGAAGTAGTTGTAATCTGATAGTACTATTAAGAATATGATGTGGGTGATCAGATAAAAACGGTAGAATATATAGTTCAGCTGCTGGTGTATGAAACACTAACGATCTTCATTGTCCATTCTTATTTTCAATCGATACATCAAGAAATTCTACACTTGAACCAATTGAATGACTTATTCGAATATTTTCGTGTATAACATTGGCTCTATTCAATCAAGCTTTGATTTGATCGAATGACAAATTAGTAGCCGTAAAACCATCGTCAATTTGTTGATAATATTTGTTCTCAAATACAAAACAAATTTTATCTAAAATCAAACTAGCAAGTTGTATTATAGTAAATAATTTTCATGCCATGAATGCTGTGATTTTCTGCATGTTTACATACGAATTTCTCTAAGGCATGCATAGCTCCATCTTGAGGTATCATGGTACACAGAGAGTGGGTGGGTGTAGGTGTAAGGGTGTCGCTGTGAGTGTGTAAAGTTACCACAATACTGAATATTTCGATTTCACAAGGATCTTATGAAGGGGCAAGTAATCGTACAATTGATTCCAAGAAAATTTTGAACCAAATACAAGAATACTTAGTTGGGTGTGGGGCAGAGACCGTCACAGGGCAGGGCAAACATTTTGCCCTGTGCCAAAAAAATGAAAAAAGTCTGATTCTAGTTTAGTTTTTCTGATTAAAAAATCGATTAAAATGGCAATGTTTTTATTCAATTTTAATCTAATTATTTCATGCAATTGC